AGCTTGAAGGAGCTATTTTAATTAGCTAGAAGTCAGCTGACACCACAACATGATTTTATAAGATCCATTTATTTATTCAAAATTAAAATCTGCAATGAAGACAGACAAACAATGTTAACATTCCCAGAGGAATTGAATTACTTATAGTTAAAACTGAGTTCTATTAGAACCATCTTTAGGTTGTTATAAATAACCGTTGACCACAGTTTTTAGGAATGAAGTGTTTAGGTAATGAAGTCGGGGGTACCCCTGTGAACAGCCAGAAGATTCATTCTCAAAAGGATGCCTTCGTTTCTCTTCCTGAGACTTTCATAAGAGTATAGAAACCCCAGACCCAGGGGCAAGAGAAACTAGAGGAAGACAGGAAAAACAGGTTAAAGCTATTAAGTGTGGTCAGGCTTGGAATGGGAGCTTCATTTGGCTTCCCAAGGAACATTCTTTTCTTTATATAACTTACAAATTTTTCTTAAAATACTCAAATACCATAGGGTATCAGCCTATGGAACAGCTTAAACAGGTGAATATAATAAATACTGAAAAATTATAATACTGGGCTTCTTACTAACTAGTTCACAAAGAAGCTCAATAAATAAATAGAAGTGGGAGTTGAGGTATCAGAAACAATAAATATTCTAGGAGAGAGGAGGTATGATTGGGCTTTCCAAGGAGCTGGCTCAGAACCCTGGATCAGAATTTAAAGATTTGTGTCCCAGAGTCCAGGTGAGTCAGCACCCTCAATGTTTCGTCCCTGGGCTGTTTCAGCTTTTCATCTTCTTTGTCATGTAAACTTCTATGTAGTTAATGAAGATGTCAAATTCACTCATGGCTTTGTAGACGCCTTTCTCTTGGAGCTGGGGAGAGAGAGGAAAATAGTGAAAACCCCATCCAAGGGAACCTCAGGCAGTGGCCCCTGGATGTTCACCCACTCCCTGGCATTGGAGAGTAAAGGGCTGACTCTGAGCTTAGCTTTGGGAAAGCCTGTGCCTGGACCTGACTTCAGGCTAGCGGGTACAAGAGGAACATCCTCTTTGTCAAATACATTGCTTTTCAACAATTTTAAAGGTCATGTGCTCACGTGATGCTTATTCACAATTTGATGAAACGACACAAGAGGAAACTACTGTGATAGTTCAACAGTGAGGGCAGGAGATAAGGGTTTTTTACACCCTCCTTCTCCCCCACCCCTCATCCTGTGCTGCAGCCCCACACCCTGTCAGGCACGTGCCTCCGATGCTGGGCTTCTGCCCAGCCCATCCATCCCACAGACAGGACATGGGCCACCTGACTTCTGGGAAACAGAGTACGAGACTCACAGACAGGTGGAATTGTGAGACCCCATTTATTTTGAGGGCTGACATTCTCAGCGATCTTGCAAATGCAGCGGGAATAATGGCTAATTCCAGAAAGTGAGGCTTCTGCTTCTTGCTCTGAGTTTTGGGGTGTCTGGTTGAGCTTGGGTGTATTTGTGTGTGCACTCACGTGTCAGCTTCCTGCACGTGTGGGCTCAGCCTGGCTTCCCAACAAGCTACTTTCTGTTTCCTTTGTCACTCTCCCCACCACCCAGCTCGCTATGTTCCTGGCTGCCTGGTTGAACCCGCAGGCCTGTGAAGGCTGCGCTCAGTCATTTAGAAACCCCCTAAAGACACTTCACAGAAGACCAAATAACCAAAGCAGCAGCTCCCCACCGCCTGTGGAGATAACACCACTTTCTGGGTTCCCACAGTCCCAGAGTGAAGAATGGGCCCTGCCTGTTCAACACCAACTTCTGCCCCTTGAGGAGTGGGCAGAAGTCATGTTCCCTGAAACTCCCCTGCCACCTGCCAGGCTCACCTTACTAAAGGCAGTCTTCACCTGCTCCACAGCCTTGCTCTTGTTTTCGCAGGGCAGAAATCGATGCTGTGGAGGGAAAGAGAAAGTGTTGGTGACAGCAACTCCAGTTCCCATTTCCCAGTTCCCAGTACTAGAGGGCCAAGCTGGTAGCAGAACAGTTCCTGTGGACACTGAGTTGTCTTAACTGTTCCTCAAGGGACAGAGAAGCAGCAACTCCTGGAGCTGCTCTGGAGGTTTCCTGGGCTTGGATGAAACCCAGGTCTTGGAGTCCTTACCCTCGCAACACCTGCAGCACTTGGGAGGCTGCAGGAGTGCTCTGCCCAACCTCCTCCTATGTCCCTGACCTCCCCGAGGTCCCATTTCTGAGTGCCTGGGGGAATAGAGACAGCCTCAGCTGGGAGCACCCAAGAGGAACTTAGTCTCCTGGTGTTAGTGACAGAATAAGGGAAACCAGTGATGAGGCAAATGGAGAGATCAGTTATCTGGGGGAATTACTTCCAGACACTACACTGGGGTGAGTAGCCCCCAGCCCTTCTCAGACACAAGGGAGCCTCCTGTCCTCTGGGCCCCACAGGAGACTGAGGATAATAGGTAAACTGAGCTTCCTCTCCCAAGGACCTCATTCCTGGCCGGCGGCTGGGCTTAGGCCCACAGGGACCAGGAGGCGTGGATGTCAGATTTGGGCCCCTTTTATGAAGAGAAGGGATTAGTTAATAACCCACAAATGACTCAGAAATAACAGGAAAGCTGTTTGCAAATGTTCACATGTAAATGCCTAACAGCTTCCCCCACCTCCTGCTCAGAGAGAAATGAGCAAGAGACTGAGCTCCCGAAGGAGCTGATTCTGGCCACAGTCGGTGCTGTCTCGGGTGTGAGTGGAGATAGGACATGGTGTTTCTGGGAGCACAGAGGGAGAGGACGGCCACTCACACAGCGTCGCAGTCTCAGCCTGAGGGACTGCAGCTTCTCACCCAGGGAGTTCACATGCTCCTTGACATCTGGGCTGTGGTTCTCAGCCTGCGGCATCACCTCGTCCAAGTAAAACTGGATCATCTCTGACAGGGCTTGGCAACCCAGGTAACCCTAAGGGTAGGAAGAAGGGGAGGGGGCGGTGATTGGGAGGAAGAGCTGCCAGCATCAGAAGCCAGCATTGTTTTGGGGACCTTCCGTAACCAGCTGCCTCCCCCAGGACTGAGCCCTCTGGATTGCAAGCCTTGTGCTGAGTTAAGATCTTCCCACTTCTCTTTTTCAAAGTGAAGGAAACAGAGCCAGCTCCTTTCTGAGTCACGCCACACCCCCCAGCGGCTCTCACCTTAAAGTCCTCCAGTAGGGACCCACTCAGCAGCATATTGTCCAGCTGGTCCTTCATTTGCTGCAAGAAGAACAAAAGTAGAATGAACTTGAGGTTGGGGAAACACCAGAAATGAATGCCTCCCTGAGCCTTTTAATTAGAGAGTGTTTGATGTTTTCACTCAAAGTAGCCGTGGCCCAAACGTGGAAAGGGAGGTTTTCAAAACAGGACATTCAATGGTCCTGCAACCTGTAGCTAAATCAGGTCACTCAGGATTAAATCATTGAAAGAAATCTGGCCACTTGGAAGCCAGGGAGAGCTTGGTTCCGCCTTGGTCTTGCTGGGCTGTATTGGGCTGGAAGGGGCTGCCCGTGCCCATGGCAGTTCCTGAGTCCCCTCACCCTTTGCTTTCTTCCTATGCCCCAAATCTGGAAGGTGTCTGGGAAAGGAACACTTCTGAAGGCGGGTGTCCCCACTGCAAGGGGCATCTGGATCCCTGAAGCCCTCTGCAGGATCTGGGGAACAACTTGTCTCCCATTCACACCTTGCAGCCAGGGAAGGACTGGGCTCCAGGGAACCCTTACAAGAGGTTTCCGAGCATAGGAGACCCTGCATGCACATTTAAAACAGCTTTTCTTGCACCTCTGCTACATCAGCTGAGGGGGACTGGGCCATCACTTGACCTGAGACGCTTAAGAATTCAATTTTGGGGAGACTGCGTGCACAGGATGGAGGGGAAGAAGACAGAGGGTTTTTAGAGCTCGAGCAGAATGGCTAGTTTGGGCAGCCCCAGGAAGCAAGGAAGGACGGGAGGGCACCATACTCACAAAGAAAGCCTTCACCCTGTTGAAGGCAGAGCGGAGCTCTCGGAGCATGTGGGGCAAGCTGTCCGGAAAGTTGGTGCAGCTGTTCTCAGACTGGGTGCTGTGGGCCAGGCTGGCCCTCACTCCAGCCAGGAAGACCAGGCAGCATAGAAGCACCGAGCGGGGCATGGCGGATGGCTGTCTTCCTCAAGTGAGCCCTGTGGTTTGGTTTTGCAAGAGCAAGCCCTGATGTCTGGACCTTTACCTACTGTGAACCCCTTTTATATTGTGGGTTCAATGAATGAGAGGCCTATTCATAAAAAAAAGCCACAAAGATTTCCTGGTAATGGGTTTTTCTTTTTTTCTGATTAAAGCTCCTCCTATTTTTAAATTTTGCATGGTAAGCAAAAAGGGCTGGTCGAAAATGAACTTCTGCAATATGGCTATGTATAGGATGCGTATCTCGCCCTCCTTTAAAAATAAATTTTCAGTTTCTCTTAATAAAAAAAAAGTTGATTTCCTGGGGTTTACAGCTGTTTTGTGCGCAGAACAAGACTTGTGGGTTCCACTCGCGTGCTCTTAGGTCACAGTGACGTGGACAAATTGGCCATTCCACAATATGCTGGGGTTGAGAAATAATTGAGTCCTCTCCTCTCTTCATCCTAGGCTCAATGCCTAATTTAGCAAGAAGCTGCTAACTTGGAAAGTTGCCTCCGCTCTCTCTGTCTTAGTTTCCCTAAGTAAAAATGAGGATTTGAGCTCATCCCCCAAACTTGCTGCTGGTTCCTTCGTTTTATGTTCCAAGATTGCACCCCGCAAGGATGGCTTCCTGGCATGGCCACGTGTGTTCCGGCTCCTTCCCTAGCCCTGGTCATCCCCCCTCAGCTCCCAGGACTTGGGAGCCCGCACTACTGAGCTCGGTCTCCATGACCATTCTCGTCTCCGTTTTACAGTGAGCAACTGAAGCCCAGAGACGCTCAGCAACCTGCACAAGGACACACAGGACTGCCAGCGGGGCAGGCGCCCAAGCCCAGGCTTCTCACACTCATGGCTGCTCCTCGCGCACTCTGCACTCTCCCCAGAGGACAAAATGAGAAGGCTGGATGGGGGCTGAAAAGGTTCTTTTGGCTGTAAGTACCTGTGGCTGGAGACTTAAATTTGAAAGATGGGGAGGAAGTAGAGAAAGCAAGGAAAATAGCTTGTTCCTTCTACCTCTCCTCAAAGAAGCTTCAAGCATCATTTCTTGGTTGCACACGTGAGGGGGGTGTGTGCGTGTGTGTGCTATGGGACAAGCATTCTTTTACGTCACTATTGAGATATCTGGGAGTTCTCTGGGGGTCCTTGATTGTGCTTTGACCCCTCCTCTTAGGAGCTTCTGCTATCACCCCAGTGAGACGGTGGCTGGAAATGTCACTGGCCTGGGGTAGGAGAGCAGGAGGTCTGGGCTCTGGCTCTTTAAACCCAAGGCAGGTCTCTTACCCAATATTCATCTGTCCCAAGGTTTCTGCAGTACCTGCCTTGGAGCGTGGGTGTTAGTAAGTGGATCCAGATGCAGGATATCCCAGCCTTTCCCTTATTTTGCTGTGCTCCTGATTGGAACTGGGCACCTTAGGTGGAACTGGGTGCCGAGCCAGCCCGGGTGAAGATCTCCCTGCCAGCGTGAATGGGGCAGACATCCGGGGCTCGGCCTGATGGGCGGGAGTGGGAACTAGAAGTGAGAGCTACATATATATTTGGTGGATCAGGATCAGAGGACTGTGACCTCTCCTTCCAGCCCTTTGGGAAGTGTCAGTGTAGAACTCCAAGAGTCATGAACCCTAAAGAGCCTTTTTGAAATAGGTGGACGGCTAATGTGGAAACAGCTCTGCTACATTTATCCGTGTTTAGATGCGCTGTGTTTTGTGGCCAGGAAGCAGAGAGAAGGGCTCGGAGCTGGGTTTGCCACCCAAACCCTTCCCTACTGTCTCCTGTGTTTCCTGGGTTGCTTTTGCATTAGCCTCTGAGCTGGGGGTGCTAGGTGTGGACTCGGCTCGGCAGGCCAGTCAGGACCCGAGTGCTGAGCTAGGCCAGGAGGGCCTTCTTCCCCGGAGGCATGGCCCTCCCTGCCTTTGCTTGCTGTAGTCTGTGAGTTGACAGCTTTACATAACTTGTGCCCAACGTCACATCTCTCTCCCAATCAGCCGTGAGTGCCCTGATGCAAGCGGTTATGTTATTTTGCACATATTGGTGCTGAGCACAGGGACTGCTCCAGCGGAGGTATGAGGCAATCAGCGTCCTCTCTTCTGCATTAGACACTTCCCGGTGTACCTGCGAGCCTGGCTTGGGCATGGAGGCCGCAAGGCAAGGAGACTGGCCTTGGTACAGAGGGCTGGGGAGGGTGGCAGGTAGCACCTCCGTATCTCTCAAGCTATTTATGGAAATACGTGTGCACACACATACAGAAGGATAAGGGAGGTGGGCACCTATCACGTCTCTCTAATCTGTAATTTTCTATGTAGATCAGCCTCTGACTATTATATACTTTGGAATGTGTAGCCAATGGCCTCGGGCCATTGTTTGAAAAGTGGATTATTTCTCATTGATTTGAAATCTTGAAATCTTTGTTCTTTTTCATCTCAAAATTTCCAAATCTAAATAGTCAGAAATAACCAACATGAGTTTCTTGATGCAATTCCTTAATTAACAAATGGACATTTTCCTTATCAGCACATCTCACAGGACTGACATTATGCGAAGACAACAAAGATGACTAATTCTTTTTTAAAAAAATAATAGAATAGTTTATTTTTACATCATCTTGTGCCTTTTCCCATCTCAGTTGTAATCTCTGTGGGCTTCCCACCACCAATTTACCCATGTGCCATCACCATAGTGCAGTGACTTGTCCCCAACCCCCATTTTTGATCCCATTGCCCACTCCACCCCCGTACAATGTCTCTGTTACATAGTTGTTTGTTATTAATTTTCCCCTTTGTCCTTTATACTCCTGCTATGAGTATTTTTCTGTTTCTTTCTAGCTAATTTCACCAAGCATGATCCCTTCCAACTCTATCCATGTTGCTGCAAAAGGCATGTGTTTATCTTTTTTGATTGCTGAGTAATATTCCATTCTGTATATGCACCACATCTAAAGATGACTAATTCTTAAGGCTGTGAAGGTGCTTACTCATATGAAGCATAATTAAGATCTATTGGGAAAGGCCCACGCGTGCAGGTCACATCTGAGACATAAATGCCAAGAATCTGCATGTTAGGAGATTGGTAGCAGTCAGATGGCAGAACCCATTGCAGGGAAGAAAGCCAGAGAGCTTCCTGTGGTTGAGTAGGGTGTCAGCCTGGGCCCTCTTCGATCATGTGGATTTCCAAGGTACACATGCCGTGGTCAGAATGAGCTCCCAAGAGCAACTGACCTGAGTCCAGTTTTCCCTGAAGTCCAGATGCAGAGCAGGTGTTTAATAAACACCTATCTAATTATTTTTTAAAAGGTTTATTTATTTATTCATACAGAACTGGGGTACAGGCTTCACCAGAGAGTCAGAGGCTTCACCAGAGACAAGAGTGGGGAGCAGAAGGGTGAGAGGCTTCACCAGAGACAGAGTGGGGAGCAGAACAGGCAGATTAATGAAGTACACTGCTGAGGGGAGCAGCGGGCGGGTCAGGAGAGGTCTGCCTCGCCATGTGGATCTCCGGGGCAGGCGGAAATCGAACTCATGTGGAAGTGGCTTAAGCTTTAACCCCTGCGCCACCAGGGAGTGCCCCTATCCAATTAATTTTTAATAAGCTGCTGAATAACCTCTGTTTGGGAAGCTGAGGAAGGGAAACCAGAAAGGAAGGGGAAATACCTGTCTTCTACCTTCGTACTAGAATATTCCCTAATTTCTGCATTCAGATGCAAAAGAAAGAAAATTGGTAAGTATGACTAAAGATATATTTACATCTCACTCCACAAGAAATTCAGAGACTGGCAATCTGAGGCCGGTACAGTGCTGAGATACTTTTCAGACCTGCTTTTTCTGCCTTTTCATTCTCCTATTCATTTCTGCAAGATGTCAGTGAATTCAAAGCTGCAAAATCATGCCAGGCAAGGAGTTCTTAAATTTTTTTCTGAAAAACTTCATTCTCCATTCAGTGAGTTTTACCACTGTAGCTGCAACTATAGTTATGGCAAACTAAAAACCGATGGTGTGTGTGTATGTGTTTGTGTGTGTAGACTTTGGAGCATCTTACCTACAGATCTTATAAGGAATCTCAGTTGGTCTCATGCTCGGCAAATGGAAGACTTCTTGATACAGCTGCTCTGTGCCTATGTCAGGTTCCAGAGTGGACAGCGGGTGCCTTGAGCACTGCAGGGGGCTGGAAAGGGCTTAGTACTCTCAAGAATCAGCGGCATCATTGACCCTAGCGGGGAGTTGGGGGTGGGTGGGTGATGCAGGCAGAGAAGGTGGGGTGGATGGTTTCCTGCCAGGGAAGGGAGGCGAGTGTCCTCAGGAGGACTCCCCTTGGGGCTGCCTTCTGCTTGCCATTAGTAGTGATAGTTTAGGGCTATTAATAGGACTTTCATTTCTTCTTGTCCAGGATATCTAGCATCTACCATAGTTTCTCCAACTTGAAATTTCTCGTATCACCTTGCATAACCTTCCTCAGTTCCCCGGCCAGAGGCTTGGTGCTTCTGCTGCAAAAGGCAGAGTTCTGGGATCACATCGTGCAGACTCCGTGAGGATCCAGGAGGGCAGACTCTGCAAATCACAGCGGAAGGGTGGCGCTGAGGACAGCCAAGTGGAATTCCCCTTTGTGCAATTGGGGCGCCAAATCGAGCAGTTTGGATTTTCCTCAGGCTTGGACACTGTGATCTGTGACTTCTCGTATGAGAAGTTTGACTTGTAGGGGCCAGCGCTGCAGGTGTTAGTGTCCTCCCCCCGCCCCCCCTCCGCAAGCTACAGCTTCTCTCAGTGTGTGTGCATGACTACCTAGAATGAGTGTGCCCCTAACCGCGGGGCACAAATGGGCTTTTGCAGCTCCACAGCCCCCCTCTGAGGGTACTTCATTTACTCAACTCTCAGGGTGCCTAACACCTCAAACATGAAATACCTGAATAGGCCTGCGTTGGGCTGTGCCACGTGTGACTTGTGTGGTTGCTTGGAGTCCATGTTTCGATGTTCTGCCGTCAAGATCTTGAAATTCTTAATACTTTTGAATGAAGGGCTCCACATTTTCATTTTCCCTTGGGCCCCACACTTATGTATATGGATCCTGTATATGAAACTAAATTTACTTCTTCTTCTGGTCTGACCTTCTCCAGTATTCCCTATCTCAGTAAATGGCACCACCATCTGACCACACAAGCTAGAAACCTCGAAATAATTTGTCGGTTCTTTCCTCTTTTGCCAACCTATCTACAGCCTTTGCCAAGTCCGCTAGAGTTTTCTGCACAAACATTTTCTGATGTTTACTTATCTCCATTATCCATCAGCAGCACAGCAACACTGATTCAAGTTACCATCTTTTCTCTCCTGGGTCCCCCAAATAAGTAACTAATTAGTATTCCATTCTCCAAATTATTTTCTACTTTGTAGACAGAATTGTTATTTCTGAACACACATCTGGATAACTTTCCCCTTCTTTCTCCTTCTGAAATCTTCTGAATAGCTTCTACTTTCTCTTTCTTGGCAAAATAAGGATCCACATTTTTTTCTTAAAAAAGATTTATTTGGGGCCCTCTCTTGTCACGCAGCAGGTTAAAGCACGTCACTATGATGCTAAAGCCATGATTTCGATTCCTAGCCAGAGAGGTGACCCACGTGCCATGCCAGACCTCTTCTGACCCACCATTGCTCTCCTCAACAGTGTACTTTGTCAATTGGCTTGTTCTACCCCCCCCCCCTGTGTTTCTGGTGAAACCTCTCACTACCCTTGCTCCCATCTCTTTTAAGAAAAGATTTATTTATTTATGCATACAGAATTTGGGTATAGGCCAGAGGTATGTGGGGAGGAGTGAGAGGATTCACCAGTGACAGGCTGGGGAACGGAACAGGCAGATAGATGAGGGGCAAGACAGAAGAGGTCTGCTGTGCCATGTGGATCACTTCCGGAGCCAGGGATTGAACTCACAATGAAGCGGCTGTGGCCAGCT